ATTCGTTAATAATAAATGATAAGTTAATTAATAAAGATAATTTAAGTTTTACATTAAACCCAAGAACAGAAACAGTAGTTACTGTGCCAATTGCCGACAACACTACTATGGAAAATAAAAATATTTTAATTTATAAACGAGAACTGATTAATGATATGTACTGTGCCAACGTAATAGGAACAGTAAAGTCAGGGAAAATAACAGTTAGTATATTAAATGTTTCTGAAGTAACAAAAGAAATAATTGAAAGTACTATTAATAACATATTATATGAACCTTCAAAAAATTATAGTATACACGAAATACATACTGACAATAATAATGAAAATCGAGTGAATAGAATTTTGAATTTAATACGAAGTGATCATGAGGAAAAATAGTCTATATTTGAGATATGTGAATGATATGCAGAAATATTTCATTTGGAGGGAGATCGGTTAACTTTTACAAATGCTGCAGAGCATGTTATTAATTTAAATCATAATCAACAACCTATTTATCAAAGACCCTATAGATTACCTCACTCACAACAAGCAGAAATTAAGAATCAATTAGATAAAATGGAACAAGATTTAATAATAGAACCTTCTAATTCACCATGGAATGCACCCTTATTGTTAGTTAAGAAAAAGGCTGATGCCAGTGGGAACGAAAAATTTCGTATTGTAATAGATTTCAGAAAATTAAATCAAGTAACACTAAATGAATTTCACCCTTTACCAAATATCACAGAAATATTAGATCATTTAGGACAATGTCAATTGTTCAGTTTCATCGACCTCGCCTCGGGATATCTTCAGATTCCTTTAGCTAAGTCATCACGTGAGCTTACAGCTTTTTCAGCTAATAATGCACACTATCAATTTAAACGAATGACAATGGGAATGACAACTAGTCCATCTACATTTCAAAGACTAATGGATAATGTATTATCTGGGATAATAGGTATTAAGTGTTTAGTATATCTCGATGACATAATAATACATGGGAAAAATTTAATAGATCATAATAACAAACTTGTAGATGTGTTTGAACGATTGCGATTGCATAATTTAAAAATACAACCGGACAAGTGTGAGTTTGTGAAACGAGAATGTATATATTTAGGTCATGTTATATCAGAAACAGGAATAAGACCAGATCCTAAGAAAATCCAAGCTGTTCTAGACTTTCCAGAATCTAAGAATGTTAAACAAATTAAATATTTTCTAGGATTATCAGGATATTATAGGAAATTTATTGAAAATTATAGTAGGATTACTAAACCAATAACGCATTTATTAAAGAAAGATATAAGGTTTGATTGGAATGACGAGTGTGATCGAGCTTTTGGTAAATTAAAACATGCATTATGCACTGAACCTGTATTACAATATCCCGATTTCACCAAAGAATTTATTTTGACAACTGATGCTAGAGGAAAAGCGTTAGGAGCAATATTATCGCAAGGAGAAATAGGTAAAGATCTACCTGTAGCTTATGCTTCTAAGACATTAAGTCAGAGTGAACTAAATTACTCAACAACTGAATTGGAATGTTTAGCTATAGTATATGGAATAAAGCAATTTAGACCTTATCTTTATGGAAGAAAGTTTACTATCTTAAGCGATCATAGACCATTAGCTAGGTTATTTAATTTAAAGGATCCGTTATCAAAGTTAGCTAGATGGCGAATACAGTTAGAACAGTATGATTATGTTATAAAATATAAACCAGGAGTCCAAAGTGGTAATGTAGATGCTTTGTCTAGAATGTTTTCAATTAAGGAAATTAAAGAAATTAAAGGAAATTTATACACTGCTCTGTTAAATTTGAAACATTTTTGTGAAAAAAATTCCTCAAATAAATTAATAATGAAACAATTAGGAAGAATTGATGGATTAGAATTGACAAAGGTTAGAGCTATGATTAGATATATCTTTCGAAACACCGACATAGAGATTCTTATTTGTTCAAAATTAGAATATACAGAGGAAGAAAAATTAGTTATATTTAAACAATTTCATAATTCAGTGTTAGGAGGACATGCCGGAATAGGAAAAACAGTTTACTATCAATGACATTGTTTTACGCACTAATTACTACTACTTAAGTCTTAAATTAACAAAATTCAACATTTTTATAATATTAATTATTACCAAATATGAACACAGAAGAAATTAATAATGTTCTCCAAACTGGTAAGGAAAATGTATATACCTATATAAATAAATAAATAATTTTAATGACTTATTGTAAATAGACTCTGAAATGGAATTTTCCGAGGATTCTGGTTCAGATTATATACCACCCAACTTTTCTAATCGATTATATGCCAGTGATTCAAGTTTAGATGATATTCTACCACCCAACTCTCCTAATCGATCACATGTCAGTGATTCAAATTCAGATGATAATAATATAGCATTCTTCTGAAGACCACCATGGTTTCAGTTTTTTGACATTATCTTTAAGCACATCCATCATCAAATACCAGGACTTATTGTTATACTGGCTAAGATAACATTAAGTGTTCTTTTGCAAGGCAACGTAAACATTTGCGATAAGAGCCTATAACATTTCGGACATCTTTTATATAATGAGAGGCTCAGCATTTTTTCTTCTAATGAAAATCGACGACCATTACTGTTTTTGTTTGATTCACGGATCTGAAGTCTTGTAAAAAGTGATGCAGCAGCAGAAAGTTTGTCAGACAATTTGTCAATTAAATACGTGTTGGCAAATTTGTCAGCTTCCCGTAATCGTGTTTTGAATAATGCCTTTTTCGTATTCATTCGACGATATTTTTTATGATATTTGTAGTTACTTTGTAAAAACGTTTGCACCTAGGTGTTAACGAGTTACATTTTTTCACTCCAATGCTAGCTAACAAACCTATACATATACAGTGAAACCTCCCTTAACGGACACCTCTAAATAGCGGACACCTCCAAATAGGGGACGTTTTTTCGGGGACGGGGACATTTTTACTATTTATGTATAGGAAAACCTCTAAATACAGGACACTCTAAATAACGGACATTTTTATGACACTGATATTAATAATTTTTATCTTAAATTAAGAATTATTTTGGAATACCAGAATAAAAACCTCAATTATTAAGTTATCTTATGTGTACATTATTAAACTGTATATGAAAATCTTATTTTTTCCGTTCAGTCACTTTATCGCGCCAACGAAATATTGTAACTATATTATGCATTGTCCTATGTGCGTTTAGTTGTGTTTATGATGCCAGTATACGAACGTTTTGGCATTGCTAGCAGTAGAAGGCATACGTAAATATATTTCTTCTATCGAGATACAGAATAATTAATTGTACTCAAACAAAGTAAAATTAAAAAATGCCTTAACACACGAAATAATTACGCTTGCCATTAGTAAACAAACTAAAGTAACAGATTTTATTCAGAAAATAAATGTTAGTTTTTATTTTTATCGTGTACCTATTTAGTTAATGTAAAAATAATATAAAATAAAATTATTGAATTTATTTATCTATTGAAAAAAATGTTTTCCTCTAAATAGCGGATACCTCTAAATAGCAGACAAAATTTCGGCGACTGAGAATGTCCGCTATTCAGAGGTTTCACTGTATTTAAAAATCAAAAATAGTTAAGAAGTCTAAATTATTTACACAAAACATATAATATTATTATTTAAATATAAACCAACCAAAGCTTTTATTGGACTTCGGAACTCGAATAGATTTAGAAGGAACTGTTTTTAAGCCATTAACATTAACTAGATGCATTACATGCACATTCTTAGCATTAACTATATCATTGGAGACAATATCAACAAGCATATTATTGACTACAGGTTCAACATGTACACTATCTATATTCACAATAGTTAAGTGATAAAATAAATATTATAGATTATACATAAGCAAAAACTCTAAAATTACCTGCAATGAAGTCCACATCATTTAATGAATGGTCTAAAAACATACACCAGACATAAACGAATCATTGACATTTTGCTGGTCATGTAGCTCATTTTCTGTAACTATATATTATATATTCAATAGATTTAAATAATTGTATGTAATTATTTGCAAACATACCTGTGTGTTGAACATTTTCTTTTAAGATATCATCATTAACCATTTCTCTATTTGGCAAGTTGATGGAGGGGTATGCATTTGCATTTAGCTTTTTAGTACCAGGACTCGTACAGTCATTAGTAAAATGTAAAGGACAGATGAATTTTTTAGTATACACAGGCATCGGATTCATGTCTTCCAAACCACCTACAATCCTCATCCAACTTTTAAGTCTTTCCATATCATTGCAAGGATTTGGAAACCGATGACATACTACACCTAAAAAAAATAAAACGCGACATATGAAAAGGGCATAACCTTATCTAGTACAACAAAATAATAAAAGCATACCTTTTGATTGACAGTCACGTACAATACATTTATATGCATTTTTCGGAGGCATTATTACACATTAATACAAAACAATAACGAAATTTGAAAGCTTCTTTTTCACAGTCACGACGCGAGTTGAAATTTGTTGTTGTCAATGAAAACACCAAAGAGACATGTGGTCGGTGGAGGGCAAAAACTCAGTTGTGGCACTGGTGGACCGTCGTCGCGATAACGAATAATCGCTGATACGCCGGACTGCTAGTGGCGCGACCGGTGGGCGTACGGTATAAACTATACTGAACATATTGTTCCCATAGAGTTGCATCAGCCTGGTACCCACCGCCGTTGTCAGAGTTCGTTCTATAATATATTTACGCTTCACATCGTCCCTCAACTTTTGATTACAGAATCAATGCGGTGAAGTACGTGTGCCATTGTCGGCATCTAATTTACATAGCGTTTTGAGCGCAAGCGGGCGATTCAGTTATTGTTATTACGAGTTACGATATGTCATGTAATTGTTTAATGTACTTAAGGCAGTAACGGGCACGGCGGTAGTAAGCCACACGTCTTGTTGTAATTGTATCGCGCGCGAGTGCGAGTCTGCCGGACACCTAGATGACGTCGGGAATTCGCCGCCATCAGCCAGGATCGTGGATTGCAGCACCAGAGCGGGCAAGCAGGCGTTATAGATGGTATGGTCGTTTCTCACATGAACAGTCGAGCGGTCGGCGGCAACCGGTAATGTGTATCATCATAGTCAGTGACGGATTGGGCCATAGGGAAATCGGGAAATCTCCGATGGGCCGCGTACTAAGTAAATAGCAGAAAAGTAGACTTAAATATAACCTAATAAATACTACCGTTGATTTTAAATTATTCATTCTATAATCAATCATCAATGATATTAGTGATATTACGTAATAACAGTCTATAATATTATAACGTAAAGCGCTGTAAATTGTAATAATATAATGTAAAAGCGTGAAAATTAAATGCAAAGTTCCTGATATATTGTTACAACAGCAGTTAGAAAATTTAAAATACATAATCACAATTTTTTATAAGTATTTACAAACGCTTCCACGCAAAACTCCAATCCAACTCCAACCAGCTCATCAGAGACCTTGCTACACCAGCACTACCCGGAAATCCAATTAGACGACTCAAGCGGAACTGGTGCCGCGACTTAAAAATTTTATAAACTGCTTAAATGTAAATGTCATTGTAATAAATTGTAAATATTATTGTAAAGCCACTAGGTGTCTCTAATGAGAGATTTCCTACCATGTTGTCATTAGTTCATAGTTGTTCTTTCTTTTCACCATAATTATTACTTATTGTACAACACCGTATAGATTGTAATATTTCAAAATAAAATCATATTTTTTTAAAACAAAAAAAGCATTTAAAGTTTGAATTTTGACAAAATTTATCAAATATTTTACTAAATAATTATTTTTTATTAAAAAATTACCAAAATTAATAGTTATCGTTGATTGAGAAAATGAGTAAGTGACGGCAAATTGCCGTATCATAGTCATGCAATGCAAAAAGACCAAGTATAGGTACCTACTCAAACAAATTCTTACCAAAAAAAAAGTTATTTATATAGTTTACACTAGCGCCTGGCCGCCCCCTTAAATGTGTCAACAATTGGCCGCTCGGGACAACAGTACCCTGTAGCTCCCCCCTAAATACGGCCCAGTAGGTGGGTGGGCAGGCGGGCTGATTGATCCTATGGACCAAGAATAATAAAACATCTTTTGAATAACTCGGAAAACATTCTGAAACAGATTAAACAATTTAAAGATTTCTATTGCAATTGTAGAGAGATCTATTGAATGTATTATAAAAAAAATATAATTGACTAATTTTATAAGTAATACCATCGATTATGAATACTAGTAGGTACCTATTTATATATTTATAATACTATAGTTATACCAAGTAAGATTTAAAGGGTGTTTATAGTTTACTTTTTCTATACCCAGGTAGCTAAAAGACAACTCATAGATCATTTTTTTTTCATCTCACAAAAAAAAAATATTATGATCAAATGATCAATGGTAATACTGTAATACAGCGGTTCTCCCCATTTTATATCCGCGTACCACCTGCACAGTTTAAAAATTGGCATGAACCACTAGATAAAATAACGTTTTTTTTGCTTATCAAAAATGTTATTTTACATGTAAGTATACGGAATTTTATTTTATTAGGAACTACAAAAAAAAAATAATAATATTATAATAATATAAGCATTTGCAGATGCATAAAAAGAAAATTAAATGAGTAAATTATTATTTATATTATTATTTATTATTAAATATATCAAATATACCAAATCATTTCTAATATGAACGATTTGTTCCATTTTTTTATTTTATAAAGGTAAAATGGAGATGTTCTTAATGTACCACCTATATATGAGATTTCCGCGTACCACCGGTTGAGAAACGCTGCTGTAAGAGGTAGCAATAGACAAAAGTGTTCCTTTCCAAACTACAAAGATATAATATGGGGTTGTGTAGCAATTTGTAAGCTTGATATTGTAGAATATACATCGTTTCTCATCATTGCTTTAAGGAGTGAAGAGTGAATACACTTAGACACTTCATTTTGGTGGACTATTGTCGTTGATTTTGCTTACAGTTTGTTTTTGCATAATTAATATCAACTAACTTGTAACTATTTGCAACATGCGTTTTAAAAGATATTTATATTGGATGGGCCAAAGTACACTGACTGACAGATATGACGGAGTTATAAATAAACTAGTAGAAAAATCCCCTGATTAAAGTTTTTAAATAAAATTAATTAGAAACATCTAGATCAATTCTATACAATATATGAACTCCTTTTTTTTATTTATTTTAAAAATAATTGTGTCTGAAACGACCTTGTTAGAATCAAAAACCAAATGCAAAAAATTATTTTTGTAACACTATTATATCACACTGTAAACAATTTTTGTTGACTAAATCGCATTTAACAGGTTGACTGCCATGTGTACATTTTTTTGTACACTAACAAATCTCCATACTTGTATATGCAAATATTTTTATACAAATAAATAATTTGCAAAAACTTCTTTTTTTTATAATTTTGTTTTTTTGTTTATTACTTGCAAGTCCTTTTTTAGTTAATATTTTAAAAAATAATGTTGTGTCAGATAAATGTACACGTGGCCTACCAGACCATCAACACGTTAAATGCCGCGGTCGGCGGGTAGTCGAAAATTTGTATAGGCGTCTTTAGCTTTATTATAGTTAAGCTTTATTATATTTTTTAGTCTTTATTATATCTAGACATTATTCTTATAATATACAGTTGAATAATTATTAATGGTATTATTTTACTTATATATAAACTAAAATAATACGAAGAACTTACGTAATAATATAATTTCGTTTTAATTCGTATATGTATATATTATTCATTGCTACAGGTATTTTTAAATTGTACTATTCTATTTTATTATATTTCTATTTTATCACGGCATCGATAGTCTGCCACCACACTATCGCTTTCATATGTGTTGATTTATGTTAGAATCTATTTTTGTACTTTTACAATTCATTTTATTCGATACAATTTTCTTATCTACTTCAGAAATAAAATATTATTGTGTAATGATTTAAAGCAGTTCAGTCGTTCAGTGTCATTTGTATAGTTCGATGTGTGTCGTGTGTGTCATATTCATAAATTTGTATTAGGTGTTTGTAAAAAGTGTAGCTTATTTTATATAATATTACCTCAAAATGAATCAGTGTCAAATTTAGGATTTACTTGATGAGAGTGAAACCAATTCAATAAGCTCGCTTTCATCTTTCGACGACACAGACGACGATCCTAATTGGGAAAATGATGATATTGACAATCAAGGAGAAAACTATAGATCTGAAGAAGAAAATGAAGTAACAAGTGAGTGGATAGATATTTTTGAACAACCAAATATGAATTCAAATATAGTTTTTAATCCAAATAATGATGACGTTGGTATAAACCCAGACATTAAAGAAACTATGGTTTCGTTAAGACCTTTTGATTTTTTTTCTCTATTTTTTGATGACAAAGTAATAAATCTCATAGTAGTAGAAACAAATAAATATGCTCAGGATAAATTGAAGAAACAAGGAAATAGTCGTAGTGCAAGAATAACAAAATGGACCAATACTGATAAAGAAGAACTTAAATGTTTTTTTGAAATAGTAATGTGGATGGCCGGATGGGTTTGAATAAAAAGCCAAGTATTGCTCATTACTGGAAATCTGATAATTTTTTATGTAAGTGTGAAATCCCAAAATACATGTCACGAAATAGGTTTGAGTTGATACTTTCTGTCCTCCACGTGTCAGATAATAGCAAAGTACCTCCAAACAATCGTCTATACAAAATTCAGCCATTAGTTGACATCTTAGTAAATAAGTATAACAATGCCCTAATACCAGAAAAAAACTTGTGTATTGATGAATCGATGGTTCCATTTTTGGGTCGTCTTTCTTTCCGCCAATATATAGCCGATAAAAGACATCGCTATGGAGTAAAAATTTTTAAACTATGTACTCGTGGCTTTTATACATCACAGTACAAAATATATGCCGGAAAAGAAGCTGTTCCTGGGCAACTTGTATCTTGTAAAGTTGTTATGGAACTTATGCAGCCTTACTTGGACAGTGGAAGGGGTTTATACGCGGATAATTGGTACACCAGTATTGATCTTGTAGAAAAATTACTTGATAGACAAACACATTTAGTGGGAACGCTAAGATCCAACCGAAAACGGAATCCAAAAGAGGTGATAGCCAAAAAACTAGTTAGAGGAGGAGTAATTTCAAAACAAAATCGACGTGCTTTTATGGTACTGAAGTGGAGAGACCGACGTGATGTTTTAATGTTAAGCACAATGCATACACATTTAATGATAAATGTTAACCAAATGTTATTGCAGATTATAATACAGGAAAATCGTATATCGATTTGACAGATCAAATGGGCTCATATCAATCTTGCCAAAGGAAATCTCTCAAATGGTATAGAAAAATAATGTTTGATATAATATGTAACACATCTATGATCAATGCTCTATCATTGTATACTGGTGTAACTAGAAATAGAATGAAACTTGTGGAATTTAGAGAAGCTGTCATTCAAGGATTGTTGAGGAATAAAACTACAACACACGTACCAACACAAAAAATAAATGAACATTTATTGGAAAAAACATCAAAAACTGGAAGGTGTAAAAGATGTTATGAAATCATCTCTAAAGAAAAAGATAATACATTTTTTAATATTTCCTTTTCTATGAATTAATAAATATTTATTTATTTATAGGAACAAATGTAGCTAGAAAAAAAACAAAAAGAGTGAAGACAATGTGTACTACTTGTGAAAACCATTTTTGTACAGAATGTTTTTTTGTAAACCATAAAGCAAGATTCAATTATTAAGTATTTTTATAATATAAGTAATTCTTTTGTGAATTTTTTTCAAATAAAACGTATTCGAAAGGTCAAAATAAAAACTTGATTTAAATAAGAAATATCCATTTCCTATCTTCGCTGAGTAGACAAAACTGGTCCTAGGGGCCTCAATATTTAATTCCAATATTAAATCAGTACAGACGTGTACACATTTCTGTATACGAAATTTGTTTTAAAAAAAAACTCGTGTACAATATAATGTACACGAAAAGAAAAATGGTAAGTAAAGGAGTGTACACAATTGTGTACACACGGCACCGGGTAAAAAGTATCAAAAATCATTGTGGCAGTCAACCTGTTAAAATCTGCACGTGTGATGGCGTGATGCATCCCTACTGTGTTTTCACCTTACTTAATCTTCCTAGGTACCCAAACCTATACCGTACGGCGTATACTACTCTAGTAATAAGATAGTAGGTACGTCTAAAAAAATATTTTATCATATGGTTATTTAAAAATTAATTTTTCATAATTTTGAAATTGAACTCTTAAGGGGGATGCAACCCACATATTTTTCATACGTTTTAGACCAATAAGCGGTGGTAAATTACACATACTTCGGAATGTCCGATTTAAATTTTTTATACATATTTGAATTCATTGATAAATTATCTAGGTTTCTTAGGAAGTTGATTTTCAATTTTCAATTTAAAATGACCTTAAAATAACCATTTTTTTTTTAGAAATCCCATGAAATTATTGCATTACATTTGTACTAATTTTGGGCACATCTGATTTTTAAAAAAAAAGTTCTTCCCAAGAAACATAGTCTAGAAGTTTATAAATTCAACCATTTTTTCGAAATTACAATCGAACTTCGGGAAGTATGATTAATTTACTACCACTTTTAGTAGTTTTATAGTCATGCAAAGAAGAATATATTTCATTTTTTGCGATGTATTGACATGTGCGTGCGCGTGTGAGAGTTCCGGCGTGGTTGCCCGACTCGACGTGCAGCGATTCTCGGAAACGATAACGGATTACGTACACTAATGTTCATTTACTATTCACACCTAGATACAGTATTCATTTATATGTCACATGAATTGCCTAAATATTACTCCTTAAAATATGCTACGGTGCAGCAGATTTTAGATTCTGAGCGGAACGATGAATATTGAATTGATTTTACAAAGATGTGTGTATTTTATGTAAATTATAGGTGTACTTACATAATTTATATTTTAAAAATTGAATCTATCTATAGTGGGAACTTTTCTGATGCCAAAATTGAAAATTGTATTCTCAGTACTTATCAAAATTAAAAATAATTAGGATAAACAAAAAACCGGAATTATTTACAAAACTAGTAATCAACATAATCGGATTTGTTTTTTTTGTTCTAATTCAAAACAAAATATAACCATGGACTTGAAATGTTTACTAAATATTCATATAAGCATTTACAAGACATACTATATAATTTTCAAAATATTTTATATTCTATTAAGTTTTTATTTCAGAAAATAAAAATACGCAATCAGAAGATTTTATTGAATTCAAAAATTAAAAAATTCACGATTATGTATTGTAAAAATTGTTTTATAGATAAAAAAATGTTTAATATTTTGTGTTCATATCTAAATTTTCCAAACAAAAATTATAAAAAAAAATTGCAAATAACAAATTTCTGTACTTGGGACGAATTTTATAAATGGGTTTGGTGGGAAAAACAGTGACTGATAAAATTTGTAAATAGACACTATTCGCAAACTGCAGTCTTGAAAATAACACGACATTGAGTACGATATGTGGTATAAATACACAACAATTGCGCAAATTATTAGTTTTTAAATTATAGTGCAGTATGAATAATCATGCACGGGTCATGTACATTTTGAATTTTGCAAATTTTTCGATTTTTAATAAATATCAACAATAACACTATTATAATAGGTTATAGGTATGTGTTTTAAAAAAAAAAAAAAAATAGTAGCCTGGTAAAGAAGATATATTCCATATTATATTTAGCGTGTGCTCGCGACATGCCAAATAGGTCTGCGCACACGCCTATGTTGTTATGTACTTATGTCTCAGTTTTTCACCAATTCTCGCAAAATATTGATAAAGGTTTTGTGTCGATATCTATAATACTGATACTCCAAAGCGGATAGGCCAACTTTAAGTTCATAATATTATGTATATCTTATAGCGGTATTATAACAATAAAATGTTATAATTCAATATTCATGAATCATGCGATTATTAAACAAAAATCGTTTCTAATTCAATTATTTTAACCAGAAATGTACAAACTTCAGTCCCAAATAGGGTGGGGGCTTAAAGGGCCAATCACCCACAAAAATGTTCATAAGCTTATTCATTATAATTAAAGTAGGGTTTTTGCTACCCCAAATCTCGCTATTTGCTATTCGTTATTTGCGTCTGTGAAAATCTATCATTGAAAAAAAAAATTAAAATAATAACAGAAAAGCTGTTTACGAAGTGTCAAATGTGAATGGTCTTATCCAAAATAGGCTATATAATTCAAACTGTATGTTTTCGGAGTTTTAAAGGACGCCTATAAAATTCCGGAAAAATAACTGCAGGAGAGTAATAATTTGTGAATTCAAATTCCGGACCGTAAAATTAACAGAAATTAATATGTGTAGAACACAAGCCGAATTGAAATCTAAGTGTACGGGACGTAATCTTGAGAGAAAATAATAGGACGGAACGGAAATTAATTGGAATTAAATATCGATGAACGTAAAACGTCCGGAAACCAAAATTCAGGGATGCCAATAAAATTCCGGAAAAAAAGTCACCGGAATTATGAAATAACAGAACGTAATATAACCGTATTATTAAATTGAAAGAATTATAAATATATTGAAAACGAAATTCCGGACCGTAAAATCCACGGAATTAATATATCTTGACTGTAATATGTATAGAACTTAAAATTAATGAACAAAATAAAATAGGAAAACTAAATTCTGAAATTTAAACTGTAAAATTACTAGAGTATAATTTGTGTAGAATACAAAGCGAATTGAAATTTTAGATTACGGAACGTAATAACGAAAGAAAGTAATAAGGCCGAACGTAATTTTACCGGAATTTAATAACAATGACCGTAACACGCACGGAATGTAAACTTCCAAAAAAATGTAGGATAATAGTATTAACATTTTTGATCAGTGTTATAGTATAGTATATTTTAGTTTTTGACTGGTAGGAATGGGGTGGGGTTGAACCAGGTGCGGCTCCAGGGGGGGGCTAGGGCTATTACTGTATTTCTAAACAATTTTATATACCGATAAAAGTCTTTGGAGCCGCCCGCCCGCCCCTGGGTTGAACCAGGTTTCTGTTAGAAAATTGGATCTATAGTATGTCATTAATTTACTTTAGCGCGGAGTTAAAAACAAAAATTCAAACTTCCTAATACATTTTATTTTTTAAAGTATAATATACAGTATGTCCCAGAAGTATCTCTTAGTATCTCCATGGAAAATCAATATATTTAAATGCCGTTTTTTTTACAATAATAAGTATGGATTTTCTGATAGAATAACATAATATTCGATTTTTGTTTTCAAAAATTCAAAAATTATCAAAAAATTTTTTTTGGCAAATAAGTTTTTTTAAATTTCAAAGATAGCCATTTTGTTGATCTATTTTTTAAAATGGTTCAAAAAAAAAAATATTGAAATGTAATGAAAATTGCCCAAGTTACAGCTAATTATTATTTTGAATTTCTAAGAATAATAACAATAAAAATTAATAGTTATACATACGGAATTAGCAAAATACGATTCCCATGTTAATTATTACAATCACACTGATTTTTCGGCTAAAATTAAACTTCTGGGACATATGTTCTCTATAATATCATTCGAGTGAAACCACACCTAACTGACATCCCTAAATATTGGACCTTTTTTGGGAACACAAACTACAACATTCCAACAAACTGAACCCTCTGAATGGTTGTCAACATTTCAGTGACTGAGAATGTCCGGTATCTAGAGGTTTCAATTTATAAGTTATTATATTTTTATAATTATTACACTTTAAATGCTTATAAAAAAAAATTGTTCCTATGTATTTTTAATATTTTTCAACTGCTATTGTAACAATATATTATCAGGAGCTTTGAATTAAATTTCCAAGCTTTTTTACCCAACAAATAAAATTGTATTGACATTTATAGAAAAAATAACCAAAAAAATTGGAAACTGAATATGTAAACAGTTTTGACCTCCCCAATGCACCAATTACATTCACTTTACCATCGAGAAAGATACTCAAGTTGAAAATCGAAGCATTATTTCAACTAGTTATATCATGTACACACTACACAGACAAAAATAAAAAAAACCAATACATTTATCTCTCCTCTCAGAATCTAAAATATGAACCAATGTAAAATGTAAAATGTTCATAAGTAAATAAATAAATCGAGTATTAAGTCCATGCGTCTATATATTATTATAAAGCCATATAAAATGGTCAGAAAATGTATCGTAAAATTGACATAAAGAATAAAAAGAAGGTGGGTAAGTGGATGTCGCTCTGCTGTACAGTAGGTTACAAGTGGGTCACTGTAATGGATGGTGTTAAATTTGAATTCAATGTTTAATATCATTGTATAAGAAAAACGATTCTGAGCGAAAACGGTCAGTCAGCTTATGGTATTACTAAATAATATATTTGATGATATTAAGGTGAATAAAGTAATTTATATTTAACCTATATTTACGTGGAATCTTGTTTTAAATTTTCAATCCTTAGCTATAAAAGCTGAACATTT